CTCACGACAGGTGTTGCCTTTGCCATGAGATCCTGTGTTTGCTTTGAGGCACTGTTGCTACTGGCCAGTCCAAACTTGAACACACCCGGTGAAGAAAGGGCCGGCAGGGGGGTAGTGGTGGTGGGTCCACTCTTGAACTTGCTGACTGCCTCTGCAGCAGCTCTGGAGAAGGTGGAGCTGGCAGCTGGGGTTGGGGCCGAGAAAGAGGTAGGGGCGAGTGTGGTGGATTCGGACACCACCTTTGCCTTAGCTCTTGTGACGCTGCTACTGCTGCTGTTTTTCTTCTCCTTCTCCTCCTCCTGTATTATCATCTCTATATGCCTGGGTTCCTCCACAGTTCTCTTAGGGGTTGAGGAGGAGGAAGAGGTGAATGAAGTAGAAGTGCTGATAGAGGTGCTTACTGAAGGTTTTAAAAAACTTTTTGATAGGTTCTCTTGAACAGGCAGCTGAAAAAGAGAGTAGATGAGTGTTATTGGTGAAACTGTACCTTTAGCCTTAAACATTTTATATACTTAGTCTTAGCTGTATAATTCCAATCCTTTTCAAATATTTGTTCGTTCTCAAAGTTGGGAGACCAAACCATTACATATTCATATCTACTTACTTTTGTTGGAGTAAGAAGTTTTGAGGTTGGAGGTGCAGATCTTAAATTCGGCCTGTGCTTATAAAACGAGGCTGTATACGTGGGTGCTGCATCCAAGAAACTACCCCTCTGCCCTGGAGTGGGGGTGGGTATCCGCTTGGCATCCGATATAGGTGTCGACATCTGCTCTAGGCTGTCCAGGATGCGGCGGGCAGCTTGGCTGAGTCCACCATCATCTGAGGACTCTGCCGATTTGCTTTTGACTTGAACACGAGCAGTCTGTGGGTAAGTCAAGTTCAGGGGATAAAGTCATCTTCATTATATTGTTTATAGGTTATTCAATTAAAATGAGGATAGGGATATTCAGTAGAATCTAATACTAAATACTGTAAACACAACAAATCACAGTTTTTACCTGATGGGAAGTTCTGGACTGCAATCTATTTCTTCTATAGGCAGAAGCTCCACCATACATAGTTTTCCCCGGATAAAAAGGCGAAGATTTAAATGTAGAATTACTGAGCACAGATCTGTCACCCTGTAAGGAGAGATACTTACATTAACTTCAATACTTTAGTCTGCTTTCTGGGTATCAAAGTTCCATAAAACTTTCCTTGTTAGCAATCCCATCTCAAAGTTATTGGCTTTGAGCCTTGCATACAAAGTTTATGTAATCTTTATACAGGCATCCTTTGTATCCTGATGAAGTGCAGTGCTACAGCTTTTAATTGAGTTGCCATGCAAAAATTATTAGCTTAGGTACATATAACACAAACGCATCATAGAGGTAAAAATGCACAAGTAAATAATACAATAACTCAAAATTAAGGAATACTCCATTGAAATTCTTCTCCTTTTATTCACACAACTACTAGAAACCAACACTTACCACTACAGGAGACCCATAGGTAGAAACATTAAAACGCGGCCTCTTGTTAGCTAACCCTGAGGGTTGAGGTGTCCCAATGGCTGGCTCCCCTGCTTCACTAAAGAGGGACCTGCTGCTAGTGCTTCCCTCTGCACGTATACTTGTGTGATCTGTGGGAGGTCGAGTTGCATGATGAACGATCAGGATTTTCCAGTGTCAATGGTTTACTGATGATTTCCTATATTAACATTGTTACTGTGAGGGGTGTGACCAATACTGATGTTCTTTTTTATCAAACTATATTATGGGTACATTACTTCAATGAGTCATCTCAATTTTTTAAAATATAATTTTTTTCCTTCCAAAAATTCCAGGTAAGCTTTATGAATATTCTCTGCAAGCTAGAAGCCTTGAGCCATCTGAACCTTCTACTTTATGGCCAGGATATTCAAATACTGGCAAATCCACAAGTAATTTCACTGGATACATGAATATTGTAAATTTCAAAACATTTTGCACAATGCAAGATTCAGGCTTCTCATATCTGAAATAAGTCTTCTTAATTATGATCATTAACAGGCAAATTCAACTCTGCTAATATGACAAAAGGAAACCTTAGAAAAACAATAATGAGCAGAAAAATAATAGGAGTAGGGAGTGTGATGTCCTTTTCAATGCCACACCACTTACCTGGTTCCACATCCCGGGGTCTCTTCCGAGTCTCATCCAAGGAAGGGAGAACGGTAGCAGGCTGGACAGCTGGTGGCGCAGGAGCCGACTTGGTTAGAGTATCACGTAGTGTCTGCAGTGACTCCTCGTCCAGCTGGAGTATTTCCTGCTGGTAGTCCCTCTCATCTGGTCGGGGAATGACTGAGGCATCGACGCCTGTATCTATTGAAGACTCACTCATTTCACTGCCATCATCCCCTGAGAGTTTATGATATGCTTGATTATTTTATTTTCATAAAAAAAAAAAAAAAAAAAAAAAAAAAAAAAAAAAAAAAAAAAACACAGGCAAATATCAATGACAAAATATTACTTTCCCCAGCAAAACTGTTGCTCTGGGGTGTTCCAAGCCATCTATATTAGGGTAGGTCATATTTCAGGATGAAGAAAATTACAAAGGGAAAGGTTTCCAAATGCTCAATAAAGACTAGTCCAAGAAAGTACCAGTGTTAGGCTGCTTTTTAATGTATAATTTAAAGTCATTCTAACATCCACAATCAGTGGGTAGCAGAAGCATTCAGCTAAATGTTCAAAAGACATGCACATAAAGAAAAGCCAATCTCTGGAGAGCCTTTTCTTTTCCCTTGAAACTGGGCATCCCCCTTACCTGTGGGTGTTGAACTGGTTAGGAGCTGCAACGGACGTGGCTCCAAGTGGCTCTTGGTGCGAGCTGTGAACATGGGTGCTGGAGTTGAAGAAATAATAGGCAGCTTTCTCACTGGGATTGATGGACTTGGTGTCTCACTTCCCAGTGATCTGCTGGTAGAGGCTGAAAGGCCCGAGGAAGTGGCTGTTGGCAGGGTCATCCGTATCCCGCTGCTGGTGCTGGCCCCCTCATTGACACCCAGGGACTGCTGGCTGTTACTGTCAGTTTCACCTAACCATGAAAGAACAAGGTTAGTCCAGAGTCTAAAGTATATGCTTAAAATAATGAAGCTGAATAAGAAAAAGAGAGAAGTTTGAAGGCTCAAAGGTTGCCAATGAGTAACAATGATGGGGCAATGCGAGTCTTGGGGCAGGTCTATACCTACACGAGACTTTGGTCAGCATGGGCAAGGCTGCGGTAAGCAGAAAGAACGTTGCGGGTGACCCAAGCCCCCTTTTCCTGCTCATCACATAGAAACATCTATCAACTGTGGAACTATTGTTATGGCCTGAACTAGATGTGAACATGGGCCATCCAGGCCATGCATCCAGGTTACCTGGGGTAACCAGGTGCTAAAACTATTATTTGAACTATATTCATATAATGGCTAAAATTCTGAATACGTCACAGAACTTGAATTATCTGCACTTTTAGATTTTAAAAGCTCCAGTAAAAATGGTAAATCAGAAAATACAACTTTTCTCTGCAGTATGTTTACATGCAGCACCCACCTTCCTCTGGGTAGATTGGCCTGAAGGACCTCCGCGCTGTGACCGGCTGGGAGAAAATAAAGGACTCGCCAGGAGGAGGGACTGTCGAGGTCTTGGGCGGTGCCATCCTCCCCTGCTGTTCGCTGCCTTCTTCCTCATCTTCAGCCCCTAACCATCCCGAGAGCCAAGATGATGAGAACAAACCTGTCACCGAATCAGTTACTCTCCGAATTATTCCCTGTGGAAAAACAAGAAAGCAATACAAATTAATAGGTTTTATGGTGTCAATTCTGACAATCATATATATATATATATTTTTCCTTCATAATGTCTGATTTTTTATTTTATTTTATTTCTTTTCCAATTAGGTAATGGAGTAAGATTACTATGTGCTATGGTGCAGCCTCCTTCATTACAAATATTACTGTTAATTAAAAAGAATGACAACTCATTACACATTTCAAAATCAAGGTAATTTGAAGAGATTTTTTAGAATCCCATCTATGGCATGAAGTAAATGATTTCAAACTCCTTGGACTGCTCCATTTCTTTATGACAAAGAATGCAAACAGAATTTAATGATTACTACAATAATTATCAATACTCCATGTATAGTACTGATTATCTTACAATGATTACCACTGTTAAAGATAAAAATATAGTATCTTGCCACATTAACCCAATGCTGACGAGCATGACATGTATGTATGTGCTATGCCCACTATGAGTTACTTGTTTGATTGTTTTTACATATAGATGGCTACACTTGTATTAACCCATTGCCACCGGGGAAAATGAACAAAAAATGGGGAAAATGCTGTGCCTATTTTCTATACTTTTTTGTTAAATGTCTGCCTATAATTGGCTCTGTTAGCGCCTGATTTGAAATGGCGGGAAAAACGTATTTTTCACTAGTGCCATGAATATCGATGTTATCTTTATCATAAACATTATAATTTTTATGTTTTTTAACATTAGTAACAGCAAAATAAGATAACGTAAAATATTTTGTAAATCAAAGAAAAGGGTGAATGGGCGAGACAGGCGGTACTCGTAACTGGCTCATTGGTGATTTAGTACAAGTGTAGCCATCTATGTGTAAAAACAACCTAACAAGTAATCTCACAATGGGCATGACATGGCATGCCCGGCGGAATGGGTTAAGTCACCGATGAGCCAGTTACGAGTACTGCCTGTCTCGCCTGGTTACCCTTTTCTTTGATTTATGAAAATATTTTACGTTATCATATTTTGCTGTTACTGTTGTTTAAACATTTTAGTAATTATAATGTCTATAATAAAAAGAACACCATCGATATTCTTGGCACTATTAAATAATACATTTTTTCTGCCAATTCAAATCACGTACGGTCACAAGGTCTACTAATTGACTCCTTTGTGGCTAAGCACTAGCAGAGCCATCTATGTACAGAGACATTTCACAAGAATATAAAAAATGTGCCCAGCATTTTCCATGGCGGCATTGAGTTAACCCCTTGTTTACAGGTGGCATCTACTATGATGCAATAGTGGCATAGCACTGATGCCACATGCAGCATCCCTACAGATATACGTTTGGCGGACTGCATAGCCGCTAAAAAAGCCCGCGCACATTGGGTTAAGAGTAAACCTAATTTGAAAAATATTGAAAAGATTGACCAGTTTGAGAGAGAGAGTACTCAGTTAAGAATATTCCACAAATTACCTTCAAGGATATCTTTTAGAAAGACAGTGAGATTTGAAAAGTAAAAATAATGATACATGTTACTAACATTACTCCATTATCCACATAAAAAATATCAAAATCTTTCATATGATGTAAAAATCAATCATCACTCCCAAAACTGAATTTACTCAACTATTACACCAAGATCTACATGGGGCACACAATGAACCAAGGATGAAACTCAATGGCAAAGATAATTAAAAACGTAACCACTATGTAGCCATACATATAAACCAGCCCTCAATATAACAAATAAACAATTCACCACCAGCCACAATTCAGTCATAGATGAAATCAATCCTGTGCTATTCAGAAGCCTGTGGCCATGACCCAAGTTTTTTTTTTTTGTCCAATCTGCTTCAGCCTCCATGAAAAGGACTATTAACCTAATCCTCATCCTCTATGTGGTGTGTCATATGATACAGCAGTTTTCCCAGGGTGACTATCAAAATTTCTTGAATGAGTCCTAATCCCGAGGATGAATCTCGCTCACCAGTTCCTACCGCCAGACTGATGGCCAATACACCAAGTCTACTCCTTCACACTTCCACACACACGCACATGTGGATGCACAGTGCAGGAGAACCACACACCTGTTAATTCCACTCACAAAACCTGTACCTCAGAAAACAATCTGCCAACTGGCTCTCTGCCAGAAACCTGCTTGCTTCCCATGCCCAAATCACTCCTAAGACTTCTATCAACACAGACCACAGAAAAAAAACAGTACATTGCCTGTAGATGTATAACACTCAGATTTGGGTTATGACAGACACTAAAGGAAAAGAGAGGAAGCAGTAGGTGACAACAGTTTGGGGAAGTTTTCAAAATCTATACATTTTTTCTCAACACTTTCACAACACTATGAACATAAAGAAAAGTTGAAATTTATATTTCTGCACTGTACAAGAACAGTATTTAACTTCCATGAAAATGTAAATAATGAAAAGTTGTTTCTTGCAAATGAAACAGACTTTACGCAAAGTATTCTGACTTCACAATGTATCCAGAAAATGGAAGTCTTGTCTATAAAATATAACAAAACCTAGAGAGAGAAATGTAATTCTTATTTTTAATCTGTTTGAAGAAAGCATGTCTCTTTGGCTAAAATAAAAGAAAAAAATAACATTTCTAAGGATACTTCTATACCATCCTTTAATATGTAAATTACCTACAAACTCATGAAACCCTACCAGAAAGAATACACTACTAACCTCTCAAATATGTATTTTCTGTAATACTGAAAGACCAAAGAAAAGGAAAGGAAACAAAATTACATAAACTAAATTAATAACTTATAAAGAAGTAGAGAAAACAATACATGACAAGAAATGATGAAGGGCACTGAACATCCACCTCAACCCATTTCTCACAATATCTAACTCATGCTGGCCAATAATCAAATACCTCAAATGCTGAAGCTATATACATTTACCCAAACCCTTTCCCAACAAAAATGAGAACAAACACACAAAATAGTATAAATAATAAATTGATGATACAATAACATCTCACCCAACCAAGCTCCCACAAGCAAATGCTACATTGTTGCCTGCCATTCACACTTCCTTTTAAGGGCACAGGATAAATATACACACACCAAAATTAGACACTGGTAAAAGTCGAAGCTTGCATGTCAGGTGAAATAATTTCCTATATCAGTTCTTACTGATAATCAGCAAGGTTTTATTCTTTTCTGTTCAGCACTGAATTAATATTTATATTTAAAAATCAGAAAGACTGTGCTGTGTTTCTCCTACACTGAACTTTGCTGTGTGTCTTCAAGGGGAGGGGATCACAGTTCTTAAGCCAAATCGGTGTGTGTAATTCAAGGGGACTCCAAATAATAGTGATAAAGAACATAAGACTGGTGAAAACACGAAAAAAGAGTTCTCTCTTTGCCAACTGCCCCCTCTCCCTCCTTCCATAACACGTTTTCCTGCACAGAAGGCAATCATCATTTCTGCTGTGTGAACCTCAGAACCTAACCTTTCCTTGTGTATCAACTCTTCTTTAGGGCCACATCCACCATCACATCATAATATAAAATATGGTAACCTTTTACACTAGCACTGACTGGCAAGGTTGACACAGTTATTTTCCAAATCTTGACAGGTGACTGCCATTATTAGAATTACAAACTGGCTCCACAAAATTGTTTTTTCAACTTCTACATTCATAAAAACTAACAATTTGTTTCCTCAGTGCACATCCATCAAAAATATGTCACACTTCATGTAAAAGAAAAAGAAAGAAAGAAAGAAAGAAAGAAAAAAAAGACTTTCTCCTTAGGTGACAATGTTTTTTATGAGCTGTCTGTTGCTTAAGCACTTTTCCAGACCTCTGTCTGCAAATAGATTTCAAATCAGTCAACGAATTTATTAACTCATTCTTGAAATACACAGAACAAAACTTCTGTGACCTTGAGGTGCAAGCTACTCCCTCCGTGTGGGTATGGTTTTTCATTTACGACATTACACATCTACAATTTTCAAGCCAGGGTGCCCGAGAAAAAATGGAATGAATTAGCAATATTGGTGTATAACAATGCTTTAAGAATTTGTCAGCAGCTATGCACTCAAAAGGACAGCAAGAACAGACAATAAACAGTTTGTTGGTAAACAAAGGTGTCAGTCCTAAAATGCAACAACTAACAGTAACATGCACTCCCTTCAAATAGACCCTAAACAACAAAGATCAATTTATATGCACATGTATATACATTACATGCAAAAGTTTTTACCAATATATATTTAAATGTTAAAATAATACTCCCATGTATTTCAAAGCTCAACTTTTTCTACCCAATATTACTCTTGCACACAAGAACAAGGTTTGTAAACTACACAAAGAGGTTAGGATAACACCAACACCAATAACGACCTTTCCTCGTAGTCCTATGACATGCGTTCTATCCAACTGCACCAAACACTTAAATTGATAGGCCACAGGAGGTCCACAGCCCTGGCACTCAAGATAGCAGCACAGTCTGGGTGATCGCCACAGTTCCTGCAACCCCGGCACACTGGCAAAAGGCCCGAATAAACACCAGAATATCCGGGCGAGACGAAGACCCCGTAGGCCTACAAATCCTGTGGGAGGTTCACTAGCTTTTATCCCCCATGATAGGGATGGCGGACCTTTGTTGGCCTTTGCCAGAGCACTGACAGGAGCAGATGCCACGCTTGGCCACCTGCAACCACCTGGCCGCCCTCCATGCACTACCCAGTGACCCAGATGTTGGCTGAAGCTACTGTGCCTGTTCCGAGGCCCTCTGTTGCGCCATACACATCTCCCGCGGCACAGAGTAACGTGACGCCAGACCAAAGAGCGAATCCACACACAACGCAGAAAAGAAAACAGGAAAACGAAGACAAAACATTCCCTGGACCCCTGAAACCACTACACCACACGAGACACACGCATGCCGGGGATTTTTATTACAAATTCCGCAATACGCTTCCCAAAACGAGAACAAAACAGGGCGCAACGTCTTGAACGCGCTCTTGGGACGAAGATCCCTGAACACCAAATACATAATAATAAAGAGAGGAAGAATAGAACCAAATCAAACTAAACTAAAAAAAAAAAAAAAAAGGGATAATAACCAGAGAGAAAAGGATTAAAATTAAATCTTTCCCTCTTTTCTCTCTCTCTCTTTTTACTCCCTTCCTTCTCCTCCTTCGCACCGAACGGGGGATGAGAGAGACGGAGAGAGAGCCGCGAGGAGAGAGAAAGAGAGAAAGAGAGAGAGAGAGAGAAACGTGGGAATTTTTCTCCCCCTCGAGGTCGACCTCAAGACACACGTTTCTCGTCCTCGAAGGGGGAATATCCGATCTTTTCCCTCTCCCTCGCGCCTTTCGGAGGGGGAGAGAGGCCGCGGGAAGGAGAAGCGCGCGACGGGGAGGAAGGGAAGGGGAGGAGGAAGAGGAAGCGGGAATAAACGAGGGAAGGAGAAAGAGAAGAAGAAGGAGAAGCAAAACAATCGCTCGCGAGACCACACTCACCCTCGGCCTGTCGTAAGGCTTGTCGCTCCTGCTCCTCCTCTCCCTGTACTTGCGCGGCCCCTCGGAGGCCATTTCGCTCGCGGGCGCCGGAACTCCGCCGTCGCTAAATCCCCATGAAAAGCCTCCTGCGAAAAACAAGTCCCGCACGAAGCCGAGTCCCTTAAGCGGCCGAGAGAAACATGGCGGCGGGCGCGCTGGCCTCTGATTGGTGGGTTCGACGCCGCTCGCCGCTGATTGGTCCGCTCACTCGCGCCCACAATGCACCGCGCGGGGAGACGACGGAAGGGCGGGATGCGCAACGGGGGAGTTTTTTTTTTTTTTTAATTTGAATTTGGGGATTTTTAAATTTTTAGGCGAATGGGTTTATGACGGTTTATTTATTTTTGAGGGGTTGGGTTATGGTGGATTGATGGTTGGAAGGATTGGAATACTTTTATGGTGAGAGAGAGTTTTTTTTTTTTTTTTTTTTTTTTTTTTGAATTTGGGATTTTTTGAATTTTTAGGCGAATTGGGTTTATGGAGGTTTATTTATTTTTGAGGGTTGGGTTGGGTTATGGTGTATTGATGGTTGGGATGATTGGAATGTTTTTTAAGGTATGAGAGAGAGAGAGAGGAAGTCTTATCACAAGAGGATAATTCATTAATTTATGGCGCCGAGCTCTGCCTCATACCGGGTCATATATAAAATACCTCTCTGTTCTCTGCGTACCCACTCACTCATTTCTATCACTAAT